GTGAGTGAGTGAGTGAGTGAGTGAGTGAGTGAGTGAGTGAGTGAGTGAGTGAGTGAGTGAGTGAGTAAATAAATAAATAGTCAGAGTAGACCAAACAGTTAAATAATATATTGGAAACAGCATCGTACTAAACTTTATATCGACATCATGTGGTTATTAACTTAAATACACATCACTATTTACAAAAAGTAGTGCTTATCACATATATCTATAACGTGAACACATCTAATCTCAGACTAGTAATACTAGTATTACTACTCAGAGATCTAATGTACTAACAGTGTTATGTTTTACGAAATACGTAACTGGACTGAGAGACAAAAGGAATTTCAGTGGTAACAGACAGGTCTTAAAATGAGTGAGACGGTTGATCTTATTCAGATGTCATAGTCGATATATCCGTCCACAAAGAAATGGGACTCCAACCCCGCCCCCTGCGTGCATAGTCTGTACTTACATCGCAACAACACTCAGCTAATGACAGAATATCGTTCGGACAGTCTTGACATTTCTCTCTGAAGTGTTTCACGTCCAAACCAAATGACTGCAATAAAGGTGGAAAAGTAGTTAATATATTGCAGGCCAATCTCCCAGGCAGAGTTCTATTTCCACGAATATGTACTTTCGGTGATCTAACCGCAAGGAATTCTAGGAAGGAGAATGATTGCAGGCATCACGGCCACTAACCTAAGTCAATTTTAACAACACAGCTTACCTTAAACCTTTCTCAAGGTAGAGGTCATGTTATGTTATACATGTATATGTGGAGTATATATGACGTATATGTGGAATGTATATGACGTTTTTGTGGAATGTATATGACGTATATGTGGAATGTATATGACGTATATGTGGAATGTATATGACGTATATGTGGAATGTATATGACGTATATGTGGAATGTATATGACGTATATGTGGAATGTATATGACGTTTATGTGGAATGTATATGACGTATATGTGGAGTGTAAATGACGTATATGTGGAGTATATATGACGTATATGTGGAGTTTATATGACGTATATTAGATTGAAGATGACGTATTTACTCACCTGGGTTCTCAATAGCTCATCAGGGTCAGCTTCTATCCTCGCAATAATTTCACAAAGTGTAATACCAAACGAAAACACGTCTACTTTTTTATTGTAGTTTTCACCGCGGAGCATTTCAGGAGCCATCCAGTACGGTGATCCGACCAATGACATCTTCCGTGGGGTGTCTTTTTCTACGTCGGACCCGGTGGAGACCACTCTCCGGGATAGTCCGAAATCTGCTACCACGCACTCTCGTCTCTCCGATAATCGTAATAAACAATTCTGCAACAAATGAACGGTAGTGTGTTCATTTCAGAGATCGTGTATTATTAAAAGATGGTATTCCAGATGTTAGTACACACTGTGTGAATACAAATACAAGGGCATTTGGTGGAATACAGTAATGAAAAAGATACGAAAACATTAACCAAACACGACATGCGTTCCGTAAGTTATGAGACATTTTGTTATTACTTTGGCTAAATCTATATAATTCATTTCATTTTCTATTCCCGGTAGACGAGAACAAACAATATGCCATACTCTTTTTAGAAGAACTACAGTCAGTTTGTAAGTTATCTCTTTACAAGTTACCAACATATTAATCTTATCCGTAACAGATGACAATAACTATTTATTGAACATGTCAAGATTTAGAAATTGTCTTAATTTAAAAAAAGTTTGACTGCATTACCCATGATTGGATAACGCTAGAGCATGAATTAGAAACCGGTGAACATATGTTATTTAAAAAAAAAAAAAAAAATTCTAGATCACTTGAAGATGAATTATTTTGCATATAGAATATTCTCAATATGGTGAACAAAAATGTATACTTTTAATTTGTAAATTTCTAACGGCTGTAAGAAGTTTCTTAGTGAAAAGTATACAGCCTTTTTTACACTATTTAAGTAAAAATACATTCGCGATCATAAAAAAAATGAGGTGGTCTGTGTCACGGTGAACAGGGCCCTAATAGATCTACCAGGAATCAACACATTTTATCTAAAAAAAGGAAAATCGATATTTTTCAGCAAAAATCTCAAGTATATAGGACAAAAATGTATAATGACTGTTTCCGCTGGAATGGCTGAGAAGGATATTATAACAGATAGAAATTTGACAATCAAATTTAACTACGTCTTGGAGACTAATATGGAGTACAATGTAAATAGTAAAATGGTCACTAGAAAATTGCCTGTGTAAATTGCGAATAGACAATTTGATTCCCTGTTTTCGTAGCCCAACACCCCCGCCTTATCCCACCTCACTATTTACGTAGATCATATACTTGCGTGATCAGCGCCCTCAACCGGCCGCTACAAATCTGGTTAAGTAAACGTCGACAGGGGGCGCAAACCACGAGACATCGACACAGAATCTGAATCCTTACCATTGACGTTAAATCTCGATGACAGACATTGCATTCGTGTAAATACGCCATACCACTGGCAATGTCTCTGGCAAAGTTGACTCGTTCCTCAAGACTGATCGGTTTTTCGTGGTCCAATAATAAAGTATTTAAACATCCTCCGGACAAATACTGCAATCGAAGAAAACTCCACAACTTAAAACATTGAAAAAACTGCACTCATTATATATTCTCGTTGTATGTACGTCAACTATCAAGGACCAGGGAGTCCATGTCACAAGTGTCAGAGATCAAAGTATTGACATTTTCAGAGTTCCGTATGTGTATCGAGTTATGACCCTCAATGAGGTAATTATCGTTCACTATGTCGTAGATAATTCTCCACTTTCATTGGTAAATCCGCTTTTCGAGTAAGTACAATTGACATTTTATTTTATTTATATTTGCTCCTTGCTGGAATTACGTTGAAATAGTATGCACAGTGCTTGATACGACCTCGAGTTTTACGATGGCCGATTTCTATGGGTTAGTGTGTCTTTTGTTAATGTTATTGATAAAAGGTAGACAGTGGACAATTTATCGCTGAGCACGTATTAAATGCAATACAGGAAATGGGAAGTAAAGTTTATTGGTTCGGAGTAGAAATTGCAAAATGTCCAGTTCTTGGCTTGAAAGACCACTAAAACGTAAAACATATAATTTACTAAGTATAGCCTGAAAACTGTCAGTAAAGGTGTGTTGATGTCGCATAGCAACATTAGTGAAGTACCTCGAGCATTGGATGCAACTGACCCTCCTTAATACATGCACCTTCCAATTTGATGACGTTGCGATGGTGTAATTTATTCATCAATTCTAGTTCTTTGACCATTTTGCACTGATCCACTCTGTCTTTTGACTTGCTGATTTTCACAACCATGACATCATGGTTGCCACGGTGACGCACCTGAAATTGAAACCAGACATTATAGAGCTGAATGACTTCCTATCGAGTATTGTTATCTACAAGTATAGCGAGAGCTGGTTGATGGGTGGTGCCGAACTAGTCGTTGAAATACCGGCGTCATGTGTTGTAAAAATTAAGTGAAAATATTTTAAAACTAGATCAAATATTGTATATACGCTTCTGTAGTCATCGCGTCGCAGAAGAGTAGGCTAAACGCCCCAAAATGCACTTTAAAGAGAGTGATATAATGACAGGTAGTATAATCCAAACATACACGTATAAGAACTCGAAGTGAGCGAACTGTTATTTGGTTTGAAGCCCCATTGACTAGATAACAATAGAGCAAAAACCAATTACCACCAGTCACATGACCACCTTTTATCACGCCAATCGATGGATTAGCGCGAAATATAAATACAAATCACACCCAGAAGATTTTTTTTTTCGAAAAATTTCAATTGTTCAAATTTATTTATCTTGTGGAAACGTCAAGAATACGCGACACTCCCACAATATTAATTTATCATGGGAATGCATGTGACAGTACCGTGTATTGGACATTTGTCATAACTGGTGGGCTTTCAATGAAGTATTTGCTGTCAAGTTTGCTTGTATTGCTACTAATACTACCTATTTCGATACCACCGATACGGAGGCCAATGCGATAACTTTATTGCCTCATTGTAAATAAATTAACACGGGGTTATATCTACGACTACGCGAAGATCCAGTAATTTTTAACTCAGTGTATCATAAATGGTAAATATTTGATGTCCATTCAGTAGTTTACAACAGTGTTCTTTACACAGGTGTTTGGTCAGCACAGCCCTAAGCTGGTAGCGCTGTGGAATCACGTAAGTGTTGAAGGCCCTACCGAAATGTATATTGCGCTGGGAGATGCGTCATATTTTTTTTGTCTGTGTTACAGACATTTGTTTACGGGTAAAAACAACTCAATCAGTATGAATCCCAAAACGCGTAAAATGTGACAAAAACTAATAGTGGTATTTTTGGAATGTAAAGCACCAGGTGAGGTGAGGTGTGTGTTCATCGAAGCGGTCCGTGACACAATTTCAGTCGAGTGTAAACACAGTACGGCCATTAATTATAATGAAATTGTGTTGACTGCATTCTTGGGTCTAATAAATATAGGACACAGGGTTGGGCATGTTAAATTTTACCTTATATACGTCAGCAAAAAAACCACTGTCCAATTTTTCGGTATCAAAATCTTCCCATATAGCTAGTTTAGTGACCGCGGAAAGCAGGGCGTCGCAAGAACTCCCTGGCTGAGCTTTGCATTCACTCGACTCTTCTGACGTGTCGGGGATCGACCCGTACCCTTGCTGTATCGTGCTTGTCACTCTGCTTGCCATCGTGCGTAGTTTGACATCGTTCCAAAACTGGTAAACTTTAGATTCCAGAGAGCGACGTAGATTATTTTACAGTGCCAAGTAGTACTACAAGCGTCTCTGAAATATGACAAGCACTGTTTTTGTGCGTGTTCTATTCACTACTCTGCATCATTGATGGCGGTCTATTGTTCTTTGGTGTTCTATTGCCATGACGTTGTAACCTTATTTGCATATCGTGTAATTCAGGTAGCGTACCTTGCCTATAGGTAATAATCACAGAGGTGCAGGACAATAGGCTTTGAATGAAACCGTTAATTACGTACAATTTGCTCGTTATACAGTTTGTTGTCAAATAGAAATCATCGAAACGTCTACCATGTCCCTTTACTTCACTCATTTCACACTTGCCTGAACACTATAATTATAACCACAATTCCCTTTTTGCCTCATTTTTTTTTATTTATTTCTATGTTTTCAATTTTATTTTTATTTTTAGACAAGGTACCCATCAACACATAACGATACAAATATATACAGACCAAATTAGCAAATAAAGAAATTCGACAATATAACAACAGCCTAAACAACTTCAGCAATTCAGGAATAACAGAGCAAATTGTGTAAAAAAGCAAACAAACATATAAATAAAATATAAATACAAAATTTTCCTGGGATTCATTTCATTTTAAATTTATTAGGAATGTTTTAATATGCGAAATATATTATTCTGGATATACAGAAAAATGAAATGTAAACAAGCATTCACACGATTCACTGAATATGTTGCTATCATCAAACATGTCTATCCGTTGCCATGGATATTATTATAACGAATATGTGAGTATTTATAGATTTATTGAGTTATATAATCATTCATGTTATATAATCACTCATACAAAGTTTACAAAATGAATTGTTTTCATATGTAAATTTTGCTATGTGTTTTGAAATCAACTTCGTAACGGTTTGATCCACGGTGCCGAACTGTGCCATTTTGTTAACAAATCTTGATAATATATGTTGTTGCTGACTAGTCGTGGTGAAATTAATACCGAGCATTCTAAAAATAAACCAATTGCTTGAGCTTCTCAGATATTTTGACAATGTATACGTCACTGGCAATGGTATATATAACGAATACCTTACTGGTTTGACATTCAATTTTGCTTTTTTGGGAGCTCAATACTAAAATTGTGCGAAAAACAACAAACAATGTCAACTGTGCCACTACTGTTGTTAAATAATTAATCTAAATAAGAAAATTGATTGATGTGTGTTAAAGTTGTGGTGATTGGTTTTATTTTATTCTTGCATGGAAATATTATCATTGATTCTCGGGTCGGGTTCAACTCTATTCGTGCAATACCGCCCTCATTAGGCAGTTCGTGCATACAATGAATGCTGGTTTTTCGAATGGGGTTATTTTTTGGATTTGTGCAATGCATTTGACCTCGCTGATAATCGTGCTCTTTTGACTATGCTCCAATGTTATGATGCTAATACTTAATCACTAAGAAGAATTCACAATCACAGACTCAGATAAGGTTCTGATCAAAACAGCCTTCAAATGTAACTTCTGTTAGAGAACTTTTTCACCTCTTTCTGCAGTTGGCATCTGGAGCGATATCCCCATCGGCATTAGAAATTGGGTCATAATCGCGAATTCTATTATAAACTCGTGTTTGTCATTAATAACAAATAATCTCCCATTTTGAACATATTAACCATCGTGACTTAGCTGTAACTGTTATTCCGAATAACGGAATCTTGAGGGCAATATCTCCTGGATGCGCTGTCATTGCTTGGTAATACGATAACCCGCGATCACACATTGAAGAACCTATTACTTGCTACGGCAAATTGTCTGTGTCATAACAATTATTACATATCGTATATTTAATATTTGTATTTTCATGTTTGTTTTTCATACTATATAACTTTCTTGTTAAATTAATAGAATCCCACATGAACCAATGACGTATGTAAATAACGGTTCTTGGTCCGCTTATAGCACGTCAGACTTCGATTATTCGTAAGGTGACGGTGAAGGTTGCAAATCAATGGTTGTAGTCGACAGAGGGCGCAACAACATTGTGTCTTACCAGAGGTACATTTCAATACGGACCTAAAAATACATGTATGTTTAAGGTCTATGAGTACATATACCTGCGGTATACATCACTTGGTTGTATCGGTATAGACAGAGTATGTGTCATAAAAGTATATAGTATATAAATTAAATGTGTATAGCAGCCCTGTGTACATACATGTAGTTGATTTAGACCTGTGCACAGAGCTATATGCGTAGATAACATTGTAAAACTTGTGATCTTGCACAGCCATAGTAATTTATTGTTTCATATAAATTAGTGGGAATTAGTCAGGCAATACCTTTGACGAACTATTAAACTGTGGGTACTGAAAGAGCGCCACCTGTGCGTTTCGCGGTCGTACCTATTTTTTTTTTTTTTTAAACCTAGGGGGTCAACAATACACGAAGCAAAGTAAAGATGGCGGCCTGGCAGAGGTTTTGTGTACTTATAGTGCTGATTTTGTTCGCTGCTACCACTGTTATTACGGCGAAAATTACCGACCTTCTTTCATCACACACGTCGATACTATCTAGTCCTTCGATGAGCCAGCAAAGAAGATTGTTGCAGCCTGTTAAATCGAAAAAACGTGATATCCGGAACTTGTTTCGCAGAGAGGCACCACAGTGCGGGGATCCACCCATTGAAATTACGAACCTCCAAAACGGCAAAAATCATGTAAGTATCCCTGAAAATGTGATGTTTTTTTTTTATAATTTTGTTACTTCGATTTAATAATAATGGACGTGTATAATATTATGTTAACGTCCACTTTGTAGATTTGCCAAAAAAGTATGTAACCAGAAATGATTCGTTATTATTATTTTGGTGTCGTCATACTGATGTGTTCCATGCCTACTGGTTATTATGTATGTATGTTTGCGTATCACACCAGCTGGTGTTACCTCACAAATCACAAAACGTGCTGCAATTGTTTTCGATATTGTGCGTTATTTTTTATGAAAAATAGTATTATAAGGTAATTCCAGAAATTGCCTCACCTCAGGAACAGGTGATTTTAAGTTTTCACATTTGTCCCTGAAGTCGGAAGGTATGAATGTTGTCTAAAAAATTCAGTTTAGATATGGAAAATTCACTAAAATAATGTCTAAATTTGTGTAAACAAACAATGACATGACAAGGAGTATGTGTTCAGCAGATTTTGACAGAAACTTGTATTCTCTGAATTTCATCTCCTGTTTAGTTCATAGTGTAGCATCATTTGTTTACATTTACAGTCTCCCTGAAATCTACTATGACAACATTTTTAAAAGGGACATGTACATGTTCATATAAAACACGCAGTGAACAATACTGTTATTTTACCTTTCAGTGCAAGTGGCCGATTCTCTGCAGTAAGTTACTGTGCATAAAAACATGAGCAAAACATACAACAAGTGCGATGGCCATGACTGATATGTCGTCTGATATTTTAAAAAGCCTGAAAAAAATAATCTCACCAACCTATGTTAAGTTATCACACATTTTGGTATGGCCTTATTAACTTCAGTATTCATAATACCACTAAACTGTTTTAAGTAAATGTATCAATAAAGAGTGTATGGTTATAATGTCACAAGCCTGAAGCATGTAAAATAACCACAGCATTTATTGGCAATTCATGCTCCAAAGTAAACTGTAAAGTAAATCTCAAAGTAAAATCTCATCAGATTTTCTTACTTATTCATGCCTCAGTTATTTATATGAGTATCAGTTTAATCAATGAGTTAAAAGATGCTTAGTTGGGTATGCAGTGTATTACCAGAAATGCATGGGAAATGTACACATCTTACATTTTGATGGATTTGTGCATATTTTAATTATGTTACATTGTTACAAAAAACTGCTCACAAAAACAATAATCCAGAATGAATGTGTCACCAAAAGCTTTGCAAAGCATAAAACCATCTGATATTTTTTGGACCTACAAAATTGGCCATCAAGCAGTCCCTTAGACAAACATTGGTTTATTGGTATGACATACATGTATGCACTACCATTTTAGTTTGTATTAAATATTCAGATGATGTATGTGTTGTTATACTAGCAAGCTAGTAACTTTTGGAGCATGTCTTAATCACAGATCAATTTTAAATTATTCTTCCCTTGTTGCTACCTTGATTGTGTTCCCAGGGTCAAAATTTTTCCCGCTTCTTGAATTCATTGATTCACAAAATTTCTAATTTCTCATTCAAGTAGTTTACCATACATGTATATCCACCAATTTTCAGTAGGTATGTAAATGAATTTCCAATGTTGCTATGTTAATTGTATAAATCTAAATTTCACATCATATTGTTTTTTTTACAGTTTGAGTTTACCAATGAATCAAATTACAACATTGCGTTGACCTGGGCTGGTGTTGATAATGAGGTTAGTAGTAATAAATATAGCTGCAAGCAGCATTAGTGAAGTTTCAATTTCTTTGGTTGCTTAGTTACCAGATTCACCAATATTTCAGCAGAATATGCAGTTTCAGGCAGAAATTTAAGAATCTAGCTCTGTTTTCTACCATATACTACATGTTGATTTTTAATAGTAGGTAAGAAGTTTGTCGTATGATATATAACATCTCGATATATGTTGGTATAACGTTGTACACGAGTCTGATATTTCTGAGGGACAACTTTCAAGTATGGCTATTCAACTGAAGCAATCAGGTTCCTGAAGTCTAGTTATAAAATTAACACATGCCCAGTAATGTAGTAATCAGAGAACTCAAAGCTTGTCTGTTTGTTGTCTATCTTCAAAATATCTTGTTTTGACCATAGACTAACATATGTTATACAAAACTCATTTACATTAGGGCATCGTCTTCTATCACAGAAAATATGGTAGTTTTTGTACCATTAATTTTATGCATGCAACGATATGTATATAGCCAGTCTTGCTTTTGTTTAATTAATTAAAAACACTATACCCGCGTAATCAAATAACCATTCGTCTCGGATAGTATTCTTGTTTCAAGTAAATATATCGCGATCAGCTGATCGCATTACCATACTTTCTGTTCCACTTACATATACACGCCATATATGTGTGTTATGTCTGTTTTTAAAATCATGGGCACTAAAAAAAAATGAGCTGGTGATGTTGCAAACTATTGACGCCTTTCGCTGACAAAATGGGTTTTCCCTCTAATGTAATGTGCATTGGAGCACCTACTTATTATTGGTGTGCTCAATTTGATTTTCTTCTTTTGAAGTAAAATAATTATTTACAGTATGTTTTTTTTTTAGAATGTCCTGCACAATTGATTTATAAATATAAAGGGTGTCATATGTTATTAAAGATAACAATAATACATGTAACAAAGTGGTGTTGATTAAAACATCTGTTGCACCCTATATGATCCTGGCTGGATGTGTACCATCTATTACTATTATTATGTGCATCAAATGACTCATTGCTTTTAGCATATTTCAATGTTATTAAAGATAAAATTTAAAATAAAATGTATCATTTATTTTCTTATGTTTTATCATATCATTATACATTTTGTTTAGCATATCCTCGGGGGCGGAGCTACGTCACAGACGTTCCACGTTGCTAAGACGCGCACCACTGTACCATGCATTTCTATGGGCTCTGTGCGCGCTGCTGTGGAACGCCGGTCGAGCCGGTGAAAATTCGAGAAAACAATACAAACTCAACTTTGAAGTAATCCCGAACAATCAAATTTATATATGTTACACACGTAGGGCTAATCTTGTTGCACTGTTCAGAGGAGTCTCAACAATCACCCCAAAGTACCGTTTTCTGCGAGTTTTGGGCCTTTGTTTTCACCGCCGCGGGTTGCCAGGCGGTGAAAATGCCCGGATGTCCGCACCCGAGGATAGCGCATACTGTGAATAATATTGATGTACTTAATTAAAGGGCGGTGGTCGTCGCGCCGCGTCCTGTTCAATATGAGACTAATAGCGACGTATACAACGCGTGTAAAATACATTGTTTATTTACATGAAATTCGAACACGTGCTGTGCGACGACCACCACGCTTTAAGGAAGCATTATTCTATGTTTACAAGCCATGTTAGACTGTCCATTGTATCAAGAAGTATGCTAGATACAGTGAACACAACATCTATACCATTTGAAAAGACAAACGTTTTAAAAAACTGTAACTTGTACCTCAGACTACTATCTGAGCTTGTACTGAATGTAAGAGACTGTTTATATTTGCTATGGGTGGTGACTATTATGCAAATTATCTGTCAATTATGTCTTTGGCTGATTAATTAAACATAGCTTTCAAAACAATGACATGTGCTTTTGCTTTTAATTAACAAAATGGATTTTTACATCCTATAAAATCATCAAATTCACTTTTTTCCTACTGAGTGTTTGCTCCTTGTAGTCCAGCATTAAAAAATACATTAGGTTTCAAAGCAAAAAAAACATATACAGCATCCTTAAAAAGATTTTCAACAATTTGATCAACAATTTGAATGCTATTTTGTGAATGTTATATGAATCAGGTGCAAATGCCTGGGTACAACGAACAAACAAGTTCAAATATGTGTAAAAGGGTAGGTGGATCCATTTTGAATGTGCCAAAATTGTAACACATGTTTTTTTAATTTTTTATAGTTATAGTTTTTATTGTCTTAATCAAAATGTGCACAAACAAATGTATTTTGTGAGAAATGAAAAAAGTTGACAGACTTTCAATTGATTAACTGTGCTGTCATGCTCTTGTGTATACATTATTAAACAAATTTCAAAGTATTTTGTTTTTTTTATTTCTTCTAGGCAATAATAATGCTAACAACTTTTGAACTTGGTATGTTTGTTGGTGCATCGCATCTTTGGAGGAGGTAAGTGTTCATAGAAGTTGTTTACCCTCTTCTCCCATACATTCACATTTCATATTCCTCCAAGACAAATCTTTCACTGTAGACCTTAATTGAAGTATTAGTGTTGCAGGGATTACAAGATTTATGTGGTTATATTACTGTTGATTTAATATGATTGATTCTTGATGTTTTTACTCCTTACAGTTCAAATCATGGAAAAACTTTTGAACGCATTTCAGATAAAATAAATCATGCATATGTCAGAAGTAACAATGGTGTTTTTAAAAGTCCTGTCAAACCAAATATGGTGAGTAAGATGTACAATATTTACCATCAGTTCAGATTAAATACTTTTACATAGGTGATGTGCACAGTCAATGATGTATATATTAACATGGTAATTCTAAGTTTCATGAATTACTAGAATCAATTTCTTATTTTCAATCCCATGTGTACAGTAGTTATGCATGTATTCTGATCCGGTAAATAACAGAATCTTTTTTCTCTCTTGTGTACCGCCAGCCAATCACAGTTATTGTTATAACAGTCATGATGCGAAGGCTGTTGACTCACTTACAAACCATTCGTTACATTAACTTTTTAGCTTCGCTGTTGACTTTGTCGAGCGGAGCTTATCATATGAGTGATTGTCTGTTGTCGTCGTCGTCCATGTCAATGTTTTACTTTTTTGACTTCTTCTTGAAAACTACAAGCCTGAATGCTTTGATACTTGGTGTATATGTACCTTGGGTAGACCTCTCTTAGGTTTATTCACTTCATGTTGATTTCTTCAATTCTCTAATTTTGGTGAATATTTTTGTCAATTTTTGTAAAAAGTGATATTTTCGACTTCTTGTTAAAAACCACAAGTGCAATTGCTTTGATATTACATATATAGGTACTACATGTGGACCTCTCTCAGATTTGTTCATTTTGTGATGATATCTTCAATTCTCTAATTTTGGTGAATATTTTTGTCATTTTTGGTAAAAAGTGATATTTTCGACTTCTTGTTAAAAACTGTAAGTCCGATTGCTTTGATATTATGCATATTGTTCATATGTCTTCAGTTCTTTAATTGAAATGTGCATTGCTAACAGCGGAGCTATCTCAGCCGATGGGCTTCTTGTTAGAGTTTTCTTGTGTTTATGACAAATACACAGATCTTGTATCATTAAGTCAATAGATGTGTAATTTTCTATTTTCAAAGCAATATGTGTCTTAGTGCCTCTAGATAAAAAAAAAACCTTCTTCTTAAATCGTTCTTGGACAATTGTTGACGAAAAAATTATAGATGCTGCTTCGTCAAAAAGAATCCCATGTGCAAAGCACACTATGGAGTCTTTGTAGTGACCCTGTCTATATGGCTGTTCCACCAGTATCTCAAGAACCGTCATTTGGATTTTGATGAAACCAGGTACACTGTATATAGATACTCTGTGCATATTAATAACCTAATTTGCATGATAATAAACCAGTAATTAGTTATTCCAGTAACCAACCGTCTGTATTGCAACCATTTTGGTCACCTTGGCGGATTAAATTTTTGTTATTTTGATATCTTCAATTCTCTTATTTTGAGAAATATTTTTGGTAAAAGTGATATTTTCAACTTCTTGTTAAAAACTACAAGTTCAATTGCTTTGATACTATACATATAGGAACTACAGTTTGACCTCTCTCAGATTTGTTCATTTCATAATGAGATATCTTCAATTCTCTAATTTTGATGAATATTTTTTGTAAAAAGTAATATTTTCGACTTCTTGTTAAAAACCACAAATCCGATTGCTTTGACACCATACATACAGGTAACTACAGGTAGACCTTTCTCAGATTTGTTCATTTCCTGATGATATCTTCAATTCCCTAATTTTGATAAATATTTTCTCAGATTTGTTCTTTTTTTAATGATATCTTCTGTTCTTTAAATGAAATGTGCATTGCTAACAGCGGAGCTATCTCAGCCGAGAGACTGCTTGTTTTTTCTGTCACAAAAATCTAACCTGTTTTGTTGAGTAATTTAGCAGAAACGATAATGGGTTCACAGGTAAAATATACAATGGTGATAAGGCTTGAAACAAGAGAAACAAAATATATCAATTGGATAAAAATTTGTCCTCTCCTGTTCTTCTACCTTCCATGTGCTAACGAATTGCAAAGATAATCATATAATTGTATGATATGAAATCAAACATATATTTCTAAAAATACAAATGTAGACAAGTGAGTATGTTGGAGAACTTGGTTAAATTGGTTAGAATTATGTTATAAATTCTTGATACATTTTGGGAAACAATTTCTACTTCAAGGTCTCTATGAATAAATTTTTCTTCACACTCACTTTGTTTACATGTTGCATTACCTGCATCATTTTGTAAATTTAGAAGTCTATTTTAATTTTAATTTAAAGCTGGATAAAATTGAAAACCTGACTGGAAAAGTTTTTCTGATGAAGAGCAAGATATATTAGCTGATGTTGATCTTTTTACATTTGATGTTTTTGTCATATTTCAGTAATCTTTATTCTTATGTTTTCTGTGAATAATTCAGTTATTATAAACATTTTTAGTAAATTTTTAAACAGGTGTCATCACTAAACTGCAGCACCAAAGGTGTGGTTGTTATAACACTCTGTACAGACCACTTACTATAAACACAGCACTAATTAGTCCCCGTTCGGACGTAGTCTGAAAACGAGGACTTATGTTTTGCCCTGTGTGCGTCCGTGTGTGCGTCCGTGTGTGCGTCCGTGATCACCTGTATCTCGAACATGCATGGACCGATTAAGTTCAAACTTCACTCATACATCACACATTATATGGGACATATGCACATGCATTTTTTTCATGATCCAATTAACGATAGCCGAATAGCGGCCATTTTAAGGCCGAAAATGTATCAAAATCGCACATTTTCACCATTCCGGACCCGGATCTCAGTTATGCATGGACAGATTTTGTTCAAATTTGGTACATACATTAAACATAATAGGACCTTGATGCACGTCATTTTTTTTTTTTTTTTTGGATCGGGTTTGAAATGGCCGACTGGTGGCCATTTTGTTTTAAAGAATTCAGTTCTGGATCCGTATCTGAGACATGCTTGGATTGATCGAGTTCAAACTTCACAAACTCAAGGTACATCATGTCACAAATATGTATGTGCATTTGTTTCATGATCTCATTAACGATAGCCAAATGGCGGCCACTTTAAGGCCGAAAATGCATTGAA